ACTGCATCGACCTAGGAGTGCCTGCGTCCTATTCGCCGGCGGGAGAGACCAGACATTGCGGATCTGTGATTGGCTGTTGCAGAGGCCGCCCTCAGTGCGGACCTACGTGTTACCAGCAGTGGGCCTTCGGACATGCTCGCCTATGTGGAGTGCGTCACCACAGTTCCACTCGGCAGCTTGAAGCCGGCCAAAGGCATGACAGGTTTTGAAGATCCAGTGGGAAGCCTCGTCGTAAGTCCTGGTGTTGTCAGATAGCGTGCTGCCCAGATAGGCTAATTTGTCCACAGTTTTGAGCCCGACGCTGTTGACGTTTTTCCGTGGAACATTCTTATCAACACGGGACGGCTGCTGAGACATGACCACCTTTGTTCCGTGTTGATGATAAGTCTAAAGTTGGTGCAATCGGCGCGAAGAATTTAATGCTCCTTTGTATGCCCCTCTCTGTCGTGGAGTCAAGTGCGGAGTCGTCCGCGAATTACAGGTCGTAGACTATATTCATGAAAACGCACGTTGGGATCTGCATACATCGGATGTTGGGGAGCTGCCCATCAATTCTAAAGACGATGCGGATCCAGGGGCTTTCTTCACTGTAGGCGTCCATCAGGAAGGCAAAGAACATCGAACTGCGGGGGGAGGTAGGTGGGAGGATACAGCCCTGCTTCACTCGAGGGCTTCGATAACGTTCCTTTGTCAGTGAAGCACGCTATCTTCCCATAATGGCGCTGACGTCAAATGTGGGTAAATTCCCCAGGACAGCCTTTTGACACTCCGTCACCATTTACCGTGTCAAAGAACCTCGTCAGGTAAATGATGGCCATGCACAGGTTGGTTCGCATCTCCTGGCACTTCTAATGCAACTGTTGTGCGGCAAAATCATGTCGTTGATGTCGCGATGATTACGAAAAACACGCTGGCTTTCCAGCAAGTATCCTGATTCATGTGATTATTGAGCCAGCTTAGGAGAACCCTAGCGAATATTCTTCCGACCAGGTTGAGAAACGAGATTCTTTGATGATTGTCATATAGTGAGCAGTTCCATTACCGCTTGTAGAGATGAATAATTGTGGCGTCCCTGAAGTCCTGTGTACTTTTCTTAAAGCAAAGTCTTCTGGAAAAGCGTGGCGAGATGGGTAATAAGTTGGCGGCCGCCGTATATGTAAATCGTGCCAGGAATTGCGTCTGATCCGGGCGCTTTCCCGCTGAAGAGTTGCTGCTCGGTCCTGATAGTTTCCTGAAGAGTGAGTTGGAGATCGAGGTCAGCGTTGATCTCCACCTGGGGCAGACGGCGATACAGCGTCAGATATAGTGAAGAGGCGGCGGAGTATTTTTCGGATATGCTTATCCAACTACTTCTGAATTTGCATCTTCCTAGTGAGTGGAGTTGTTCTGTCGGCAATGAAAAGAGGTGCAGTTCCTTTGACGGTGGGACTGTAGACAGTCTTGACGGCAGCCAAAATGTTCTTTAATTCATCGCTGTCTGTGTACCCTTGGAGTAAATCGCATATATTCGTTTCGATTTTACTTGGAATTCTGTAGGTGGTGGAAACCTGGAAACAAACAGTTAGGGTAGAAGAAATACAACAGATATATCTATCTATTCTGATGCTCCTTCGACTAACATCTCGAAGTTTATAAAAAAAAATTTATAAACGAAAAATCTTACTCTACAACTATACTAAAATATCTATTGCTCCCTCTTATAAAGTATCAGTAGCATAAATGTTAAGCACATTTTCAGCAAGATCTATATCTCACCTAGATTGGATAGACAACAAACGAAAGGCCAAGCGTCTTCTGCCGTCGCACTTGAATGACATTGTGTTTCGCAATCAACTTCCTGTTGCCTCCACAGCCGTTTATGTCACCTTCAAACTGAGCGCAGCTTAGTCCACCTCAGTTAAATAAAATGACATTTTTTCCAGACCCAAAATATTCTTACTATAAAACAGTAACAAATATTAAGTATTACTATTTATTTCATGTTTTGCTAGCATTGTACCTTGAAGTCAGGTTTTTTTGTCACTTAAAACAAACTCCTTATTTCGCACACTATTGACCAAACATAAGACAGAATAAAGCCAATAGTGACTGCAAAAGAAGGGCCTTTTGTTAGTTTTTTTCCTGCCTTCCAGGGTTTTTGACGGCACCGAAGATATGCTTTACAAATAAACCTTATTATTAGAGGAAACCCAAATAATCGGCTCTGGTTATTGTATATTTTCTACCAACCATATGTCATGCGCAAACTCTGAAAACGATGTTATCAATTATGCGCATTTCTGGTTCGACAGGCCGCCAGAAGGCATGAACAGTGTTGATTCATACAGAAGTATAAGTCCAGAAATCTGGATGTGGCGGAACGCGGTTGAGCTCTTTTTCTCTTTAAGACTGACAACGCCCAGGATCTTGTTTATGGCCACCCCGATTTCTGTTCAAGTTATGGATGTTAGTTCTGCTTGTATTACATGTCGCTGCACGACGGGACACGAGTACGCCCAATAATAAAGGAGACAAAATGGAACATGCCCGTCCCGTTATGCAGTCAGGTAAGTGATGGCCACATGGTGAGAAATAAACAAGGGAGTTCACACTTATGCTTGCAAAAGCTGGGGGTTGACCGTAGGAACAGTTGCACAATATACACTTCACAATAATCGCCTTTCGTAGATTATCACTGAAAAGCAGTGGCATTCAAATCATTAATATCGATTTCAATGCGTTTTCAAGCTTCATGTTTGCATGTCTGGTTTGCCGTAAAGCGAAAATCCGAAGCTGTTAATAGTTTCAATTTTATTTAGTCAGCAGATGCCAGACATATATGACAAAATGGCGTTACATGTCTTATAGATATTCAGATATGCCAACAACCCAGTATGATGAGCAATTTAATGTTATAATCATAGACACTGCCTTGGGGTCAAATTCCTTCACATGCCCTCCCTTATATTGTGGTTATTTGGCCGTATAGTTGCATGCGCTTCTGTTATGCGTACTGCTCTGCTCTAATTTATTGCTCTACGTCGGGTTCACCAATTTGTAGTGGCTATATCGCTACAAATATACAAAAAGTCTTAGCAAATACGCAACGGAAAACTTTATAGGGTAGGCTAACTGCTAGTAAGGGGTTGACCAGGCTATTCTAGTGGAAAATTGGTAAAAACCGGTATATGAGGATGACGACGAAGGTTAGAAATGATACAACTCACTTAGATCCTTCACGATCCTAGCCGGCAGTAGTCAAGCAGTCGAATTGCCAAAGGATTACTCCGTGAAGACCGGGATCCAAGTTCGTAGGGTCGCGATTGTAAAAATTGATGGGTCGCGATTGTGAAAATTGAGAGATATCTCTTTTGCAAATTGTTGCTGGATTCGCCTGAGCCCGAGAATGATCACCAGAGGGGTGTCGTTGAAGGGCGAAACATACAGCGGCAGGTGAGGAGAGAATTGAGCTGTGGAGGTGGTTAGCAAGACATTTGCTAGCACGCGTCAGAACCGAAAGTGTGCAAGTGTGTTGTATTCGAGTTTCAGCAAAACTGGTTATTGATAAATTTAAACAACGCATAAGTAGGGCCAAGAGCCCACAACCTATAAACTTTCCATTTTGTAGAGTTTCTATTTTTAAATAACGATACGAATAATAAATACAGGGTGTCCAAAAAAATGTAGACACATTTTTAACAACTGCAACCTTGATGTTTATTATAATTTTATTATTTCAAAAATATTAAAGTATTCGGGAGTATCATTTTATGGTTTTTCCATTGCATTTTGACTGCATTTTAAATAATTGAGAAAGAGAGAAGCCACTGAACATGAATGCACTCAAATACGAATGGAATTGTTTTATGGTGTGTGCGATTCCATTGCTGCGCGTTGTCAGCAGTGTCTGGATTAAATGGACGTCAGTTTGAGAACATGCAGTGAAAAAAGCAATAAAATGACACTTATAAATAGCTTTTCATTTTTGAAATAATAAAAATACAATAAACACCACGTTTACAATCATTTAAAATGTGTATACATTTTTTTGGGACACCCTGTATAAACTTCCATTTTGTTTGACTGTCGGTACAATTTGAGGACGCGAACCCAGACGTTCTGCTAAGCAAGAAAACAACCTTAATTATGTCAGGAGACCTGTGCAATATAATAAGGCACTCATGAGATAACACGTGGCATGAAATCTAGGAGTCATCAGCCTTTTACCGCCATCTTTACCAACGCATATCACTTGACTGCAACATGAACACTTATGGCTTTTTGAACAATATTGATGACATTACTATTTGTCCTCGAATTGTCCAATCAAACAACAGTACAGTAAGGCGGGAATTTTTGGTTTGCGAAGGTTGGGGAAATGGCCGTTGATGATAAAATGAACATTGATAGTATAATAGGGCGGCTTTTAGAGGGTAAATCTTCTTTGATAAAGCATTTTTATTATTTGTTATTTGCGCTCTTCTAAAATTTGTTTTTTTTTCCGTACAGTTCGACGAATCCGTCCTGGTCGGAATGTTCAGCTTAATGAGAACGAAATTCGAGGACTTTGCCTTAAGTCAAGGGAAATATTTCTCAGCCAGCCCATTCTTCTTGAGCTAGAGGCTCCCTTGAAGATTTGCGGTGACATTCACGGACAGTACTATGATCTTTTGCGCCTTTTCGAATATGGGGCTTTCCCGCCCGAGGCCAATTACCTTTTCCTCGGTGATTACGTCGACCGCGGCAAGCAGTCTTTGGAGACCATATGCTTGCTCCTTGCGTATAAGATAAAGTATCCGGAAAATTTCTTCCTCCTCAGAGGAAATCACGAGTGCGCTTCAATTAATCGAATATATGGATTTTATGACGAATGTAAGCTTTCATTACTTTCCTGCTTCTCGTTTACTTAATGCATAGATGGACAGTGGTTGCGACGGCTGCTAATTTTTGTACTGTTAGACTCTCCTTTATCCTTAGGTTAACCTTAAATCTGAACTAAGCGGAGTAGTTCCTCAAGCAATAGGATGCAATAGTAGATGGATATTGCTTATTTGTTGTTATCATTTTACCAGGAAACCCTAAAGATGAGTTGAA